AGATACTTACCAGATGTTACAAGGACGGTGCAGAAGTGGAGAGTGTGTTTCACACAGATGTAAGAACATCTGTAGAAGACAGTGTATAGCTATATAGCTGTGATTATAACTGGTAACTAACTGTCTGGACAGACAGTTGATGTTTTAATGAAGCATTTGTTAAAGCTTCATGGCAGTGTTACTAGAAATAGAATAAACACCACAGCCATCAACTCTTTAGGCTGGGGATGCTTTTCCCCCACCCTTGGCTTGTGCTGAGCATGCTGTCGGCCCATGAAATGCATGTATGTATTTTGAGTCACTGTTCGGGGATGCATCAACGAGGGGATGTGATGTTACTTGCTGAAGGGCAAGGCACGGTAGAGAAGATGCCGTTGTGTTTCTTCAAGGACTTTTTGCTGGCTAAAGTCATGTTGGTGGGGAGTAAGGGAAGGTATGGAGAGTGGCCAGGCAGGTTTTCAGGGCTGGTGATGGTGCTTGAAGGAGGTGCTGGTCTCTTCCTGTGTCCAAGTGACAAAGTAAATGAGTTGTGGAAAGCTCCAAAACCTGGGACAAGGAGCCAAAACCTGAAGCAGAGGAGAAAAAGGCATGTTTCTGAAGGTGCAAAGAGACAATCAATGTGGTGACCCCAAAGAGACAATCAATGTGGTGACCACAGGGCCCACATTTTAGATGACCTGAAGGCTATGGAGGTGTCAGAGGTATTTTCTTACTATGAATAGTAACACATACAGAGTATATGAGCTGGTGCTACAGCGTCCTCAGTGGTGATGCTGTTGTTCATAGTGATGCTATTTGCAAATACAGAGTTTGTTCTGTCATTGTAATGTGCTGGTTCCCAGGAGCAGGTTTGTTTTAGGATTAGAGAAGCCTAAGGTACTTTGTCAGTGTTTAAAAGTCATCATTTGAACCTGTTGATCTTTGCATGGCAACCTTCTCTGATGAAACCAAACCCATCCTATGGGTTTTTTTTCTATATTTATTGTCTGTGTCTCAGGTATGACTCCTACACCGATGAAACATGTTTGGGTTGCAAAACAGGGGATGCAGAAACAGGGGCAATAGCTCTCACTGACATTTAAAAGAACTCCTGAACAAGTTTATTTTGAGGTTGGCCTTTTGCAAGATGCAACCAGAGCGTTCTGCTTTGGAAAATGTGGTCACAGTGACTCCATTTTCATACATGAGAAATGGTTGCTCTAAAATTAAAGAGGAATAGAAAGAAAGGAAGGAAAAAAAACCCAATCAGTTCTTGAGAGCTGACCGAGAGATCAGGTCTGAGTAGGTGTGAGGCTTACAGAAAGGTACGTGCTGAATCCCTGCTATTTTTACTCTCGGTCATGAGTCTTGCTTTCATGATTAATACTCTTCACATCACTGGGGTGGGGTGTGCAAGGAGGTCCTGTTTGCTTGGGTAAGGTCCTGAGACCCAGTTTGAATTGTATCGGGAAGCTTTGTGTTCATCTGCTTGGCAAGGAAGATGAAGTCCCTCTGCTGAGATCCAGGCGGTGACATTATCTTGCCCCTGCAGTGTAGGTGGTGAGACAAGATGACCATGGATCCTTAAGCTGTAAGGAGCTCTAAGTCACTTGGTTGGAAAGCAGTAGCTTTCCTGGATGCACTAAACATCCCTTTAAAGAAAGGTCAAGACAAAATAGTATTTAACTGTTTCTTGGAAGGTGTTTTGAGCAAGGTCCAGGGTGGGAGCTCAGTGCAGGTGTAAGACCGGATTCCACAGTGCACCACTGTATGGGTGATGGTGGAGCATTAAATCTGGATGTCCTGGAGCAGCTCACCTTGTTCACCATGGCATCTCTTAGAAGCCACTTGTGGAATAAAAGGGTATCAATCCAGTTTGTCTTTCCTTAGAGAAGTGGAGTGGAATTGGCCCAGTAAATGTGACTTGCTGGACTCTTAAGTTACAGGATCTTGTGGGATGTGGTCCTGGATAGAACTTGACAGGGGTCTGCTGACTGCCCTCACATGCACTTGAGTCCTCCTCATCCTGCTGCTGTACCAAGGGGTAGCAGGAGGTGGCTGCAAGGGCTGCATCTTTTTCTTTGGCTGATCCTACCAGTGAGTGAAGCTGCTTCTAGATGTGAAGTGCTGAAAGGGATGTGAGCGTGTGTAGGACTAAGCCCAAACTCTGATCTGCTGTGCTGTTCAAATGAACCAAATGGTGCCAAGACCTAAAATGGCATTTTTCCTAAAAACTGTTGGAATCACAGGTAGATGTTTCCTGGGTTCTGGTTTGCATCTCACATTATTTTTGGAGAAAGGCTCCGACTGCTGCAGAACTCTTTGCCCCGGCCAATGGGAGTTTTGGCTGATGAGGGACTTGTGAATTGGGCCCGAAATGAAGTCCATGAAAACAGTGGTTTGTGTTTCCTGCTGGGTGACTTCTATTGCTCATGTCATCGGTCCCATTCAGGGGGTCTGGCTGGTGTTTTGAGATGAGATACTTCAGGATGATAAGAAGTTGTGTTCCAGTTACCCATCTAAAAGTCTTCCTCGTTTCAGTTCCATTTCAAACAGAGGCAAGAGAAGGGCTCTGTAGATGGTTGATGCTGCCGCTGTGCTTCTTCCCTGTGGTTCTTTTGCCTGTTGTAAAGGGTATGGGGGCTGTTGATTAGGTCTTCTTCATGGTCCTGATTCAGCTGAGAGCTTTAGAAGATGCCTGATCTTCAATATGCTGTATTCCCAATGTCGTCTGTGTGTGCTGAGTCCTTAGCATGGGTAGAGGTACCAGTTGTGGGGCTACATCATGGGAACTGTCTGTTGAATCATGGAGGTGGTGACAGACACCTAGTAGCAGATAGAAATGAGATTATTTAATACATGGCGACCTCCCTTTCCCTGGCCTGACACCTGATGTTGACATCTGTATCTATGGAAAGAGGATGTAAAATGTCAGTGCTGTGACAGGAGGGGATTTTAGAGCTGCTTGACATGAGCATCAGTAATGCAACACAGGGCAGGAGAGAGGCACCCACTCACCTTGCCTGGCTGTTTGTGACAGCACTACAGGGTGGTTTGGGGCTGGACTTTGCTGTTGGCAAGCTAAGAGTGGGATGCACACCTAAGTCTGTGTATCTGTCTGTGTATATATATATATATATATATATATATATATATATATATATATATTTGCCTAACATTGCAGGGCTTTCTGCTGTAAACAAGTCAGTTTCTCTAATTAGGTTTATTTGACTTTCTGTTACCTTATCTTACTGTTCTTTATCACTGTGTGTATGCTGGACTCCGGGTGTTCCAGGTAGGGAGGATGAGTAAATTGCTTTGTGAAACAGGCTTGTGTCTGTTGGCATAAAGGATAAGTTATTCGGCCCTGGTGCAAGAGAGGAGGAGAACAACGACCTGCTGAGTTACGGAGGACTGTCACCACCTCACACAGCCGCTTCTCCGCCACGTGTCCTCAGAGGGGTTTGGTTCTTGTCCTTCCCCTTTGGGATGGACAGTCCAGACTGTCCCTGATGTAATGTTTTCCTAGTTTTGCATGTTTTCTCTCCAGGCTTAGTAATTTATGTTCTGTGCCACTGCACAAATGATGTTGATGCTTGACTTCAAGAGCAGAAGGTTCAGCCCTACTGAGTGGCTGGAGCAGGAGGCTGGAAGGGACCTCCATGGCTTACACTGACCATCTCTTATCCCAGGGCAGGATTAGCTGTACCAAGATCTGTTTCTGGACCGATCAGCATCCTAGCCCCTCCAAAAGCAAGGCTCTTCTTGAAGTTTATCCTACCATATTCATTATCAGCTATTTCTTCGTATGCCCAAATCAAATGTCCCCTCCTGCAGTTTAAACCCAACCCTTCCTCTTCGATGCATCAGGAATAGGGAAAACATTATACGCTTTCTATTCAGCTGTTTTTTATATATTTGACTATTGTGAACATTCCTAGTTCTCCAGATAAGATGGGATTTGCTTCTTCCACCCTAGACTACATCTGAACCAACACAGTGGTGGGGTGTGCAGTATGAAAGAGAAATTGTCACTTGATACAAGTGAAAACGTTTGACGAAGGAAAGCTCTCAAATAAATAATAATAAAAAAGAAGGGCAGGAATTTGGAAGAAGGGGTCCTTTAAAGGTTTCCAACTGGTGCTGTGTCTGAGAAAAGAGGCAGGCTCTTTTTCTACGAGGTGAAAGCTGTTCCTTGATGTGTTCAGCAGCCCTTCCGAAGGAGCCTCCATTTGCATTGTGCAGATGCTCAGGGGGTGTAAATATTGTGGCAGGCTGCCACTTGCAGTGCATCCTAGGTGTAGTCCCACAGGGCTGAGTCCACCTTCACCCTGCTCCACATACAGGGCCGGCACCGTATGGCATCTCTTTTCTTCAGTTTGTTTGCTGGAAAATTTGGGTGTCTAAAGTCTTAACAAGCACAGGCACCCTCTGAGGGTTGTTCATAGAATCGCAGAATGGTTTGGGTTGGAAAAGACCTTAAAGCCCATCCAGTTCCAGCCTCCTTCCATGGGCAGGGACACCTTCCACTAGAGCAGCTTGCTCCAGCCTGGCCTTGAACACTGCCAGGGGTGAAGCATTCACAGCTTTCTTGGGCAGAAGTTAATCTCACCCAAGTTTTGGGTGTCTGACTCGGAACCCACAAATTGCCCTTTGGAGATGCTTTCTCTTGATTAGCTGCAAATGGCTGACCAGGTGAAGCATATCCCACCTGAGGTGGGTAGGATGGGTGGGCTTTGTTTCTTGTAGTGCTGTTTAATGGGGATTTGCTGTGCTGGAAAACCTCAAGGTGAAGTGAACCATGAAGCCAAGATGTGGTCCAGTATCATCTATGTCTTACTTAGGCTTTTGCTCCATCTGCTCAGGCCCAGGTGCCTCCTTTTTACCAATCTAAAGCTGTTTGACCAGGTGGCAACATTAGTGAGGACATTAAAAATTGATGTGTTCTGAAAATAGGATGCAAAAGGAGGAAACTGGAGTGAGCGTCTCAGTTCTGGAATTGTGTTGAGGTAGGGCAGGCCTATGCTGCTTCCTGAGAGCATCAGCACCAATTGCTTCAGTTTCGTGACTGCTCAGGCATGTGGATCTTCTCACTTTTCCAAAACGGTTTCCTTAATCACTTTGCAGTGGCTTTTCTGCTCCTGCAGAAGGCTTGAAGATAGTGAAGGCTACATTGCTTGTGGTAACACCCAGCTTTAAGGTGACTGCTTGAAATCAGAAGGTGAATTCACCAGGAAAGTGTGCTGGGGCTGCACCAAGTTCAGCTTCCTTCCAACTTGGCTTGATAAAGACATGGATTGCTTACAGACCAACATATGTAGGGTCAAGCATTGGGAATTCAGTGAGCCCATGGACCCACCCTTCCTCTGTCATCATCCCTGGTAGGAGCTCTTCACCAAGGACCGAGGGCCATACAGTACAGCTGTAGCTTTGCTGTACTCATCAAGTGGCTCCATCCCGAGAGGTGGGACCATCAGAAGTCAATGAACATTACAGGATTTTGGAGGCAGGGCATGGATTGTTGGGAAAGCAGTGGGATTTCTGCCTCTCCACCATTCAGGACTCAGCGGTACATCAGCACAACTGATCCAGGAAGGAGGTTTCAAGGATGCAGGGTTTTTTTACATCTTCTGTTCCACTAGCCTGACTTTTTTGTCAATCCCAGTTAACCAAGCATACGTTAGAGGAATAAGTCTTAAGGGAGAGCCTTAGGGTGCTGGATTTGTGTGTGGGGGGTAAGGGACCTCCCTTTACAGGGCTTACTCCGAAGGAGAGAAAACCAAGACAGGAGATGAGAACTGGAAAATGGAAGGCAACACCAGCACTTCTACAAAGCCAGTATTGGTACAGATGACAAGGCAGCGTGTTTGAGATAATGGTGTGGCTGAGAGTGACAGCTGTGGGAAGAAGGAAATAAAAGAGATTCCTTTTTTTTATATTTTATATTGTCTGTCTTTTTCTGCCTGTGAATTAAGAGTCTGGATCTGAATTTAAATACCAGGGGAATGGGAGCTGCTTGGGGGAAGAATCGGGTCAGTTTGAACCACCACTGTGCAGAAACAATGAACAAGGGATATGAAACCAGGGAATTTCCCCCCTCCCTGCTCTTTCAGATGCATGTCATAATATTTCCCTTTGTGTTCCTGCCTAGTGCAGTGTCACCTTGAGCCTCTTTTGCTGTTATTTCCCATCCCCTGCTTTAGAGGCTGGCAATGTGGCTTGTGGTCCTTAAGCTGGTTTCTTTGGACTGGCAGAGAAATCAGAGTACATTGATGTGTGCTGCTTGTTTCATGTTGATGATTGCAGGCCAGTCAGCATGCTACTGTTAACAGCATGGCTGGGGACTCTGTTTGAAGCGTTAATTAGCAGCAATTAATAAGAAGTGAAAAATTAATACCCTGTGTCAGCTTTCTTTACCAGTTAGTTATATCAACACCAAGGCTCAGAGGTAGCTTGAAGCTTATGTTTGTGTAAGAGTTCGGTCTTGCCACGTTGTATGGGGAAGATACTTAAATGCTCTCTTACAATAAATGCTAACCTAGTTATTCCCAAAATAAGAAGATAAGCTTTAGCCTCTGACCCATCCAGGTTCCTTGGGATGTGGATGAAATGTGCATGACATTTCATAACCAGTGAGTTCTCCATAGCTCATGCAAACGAGATGTTGATGACTTTGCTGAATTTGGATGAGACGTTCTGCACTGCCCCCTTTTAATTGAATTGAGCGCAACTGAACGAGCCCAGCCCCAGATGTAGCCACTGAGGATGGATCCCAGCCATGTTGCAGACACCTTAAGCAGGTTCCTGCAGGTTTTCCCTTCCATTTTCCATTTCTGATGGGAAATTCCCTGGTGCAGTGTAATGGGCCTTTCCTATGGGTCTGGTGTCAGATTTGGAGCTTGACTGCAAATGCTGTCATCATCTGATAAGACACCTTCAGTTTTTTATCAGCTCATAACTTTGTCTTATCAGCCTCATAGGAGCATCACAAGAGTTAAGTACACTACCATGAGCATATCTTTCTTCTTGGTATTTATATTGTTACCCCTGAGTTCTGTTTAAGATGATTGATTTGTTGTGTTTAAATTGATCTCTCTGTCATTTTCTAATAGACCCAGATTGCCTTCCGTCATTGTCTAGTCCTAGGCAAAAATGGAAACAGCTGAATCCACCCAAGATTTAGCTTCAGCTGACACCTCCCTTCCTCTCACGTTTAACAAGCTTGATGTAAAATCCTGATACTTAACCAATTTATTATTAATGATATTTACAGAAGTATTCCCCACCAAAGGAGAAGTGCTTTTTGATTTTCAGTAGACTGATTGCTTCTAGTTTCATAATTGAAACTTAATATACACTGGGGATGAGTGGTCATACAATCGCAGAATGGTTTGGGTTGGAAGGGACCTTAAAGCTCATCCAGTCCCAGCCCCTCTGCCATGGGCAGGGAACACTTTCCACTAGACCAGGTTGTTCCAAGCCCTGTCCAACCTGGCCTTGTGATACATACGTTCTGAGGTTAGCTACACTTGAAATACTCATAGTATACAATACACTTAATTCATTAGCAAGTCTGATGTCAAGAAGGAATAAAAATGAAAAGCTGTAGTGGCTATCGCAGTGGAGAAGTGATTGTTAGTATTTATGGAGTGCTCAAAGGATACTAAGGACTCCACAGAGAGAATTGGTTTATGGTCTTCTTGTTTAAAAGTGTTTTTTTCCTTTCATTATCAGGTGCCTTTAGGGTGGGGAACACACACTGTTGATGGGTCTAACTTTGCCCAACAACCTTTGGTTGGGGGTTGTATCGTCTGCCTTGGTTTCACTACCAGTGAAACACCTGTGATTTTAGCATGGTTTAATTGCAGCCACCCCAGTGCTGTTGTGATCACTCCAGCGAGACTGCCCCACCATGGTTCAGTTAATGGATATCACACTTGCACTGGACATGCTCCTCATTGTTTTCAATTCATCTTAAAACTGCTCACACACGTGCATTTCTTCCTTGCAGTTTTCATTGGAACAGCCTTAAAAACTGGGAATGAAGAATCTACGACAGAACACTCTCTCTCTTTCTGTTTTATAACCACTATATCTGGTCTTTCTGAATATGTCTTCTGGGTAGTAAAAGTTGAAAAAATCCCATAATATTTTTACAATCTTATTACCTCCTGCTTTGCCTGGCCTCTGGCAGTAAACTTTGTTCCTGCTCTTAGTCATGCTTCTTGCAGAGCATTCGATGGTGTTGCTGCCAGCATAGTCCTCTCTCTCATGCCCATCTTGGAGGCATCCACTAATAGGCAAGACCAGTCTTGCACATCATATATTCTGGACACACACTTTCCCTGCTATCTGTCTTTGCTTTAGCATATCTTGTGTGAATAGCTGGTTCCCTCTGTGCCTATAACCCAAGCTCTTGGTTTCTCTTTTTCAGTCCTCCTTTGACACCTTGTAATTCATCACCATCTCAGAGTTTTACAAAAAGCTCACTTTGGAGTTCTTTTTAATCTGCTCCTGAAGGTGTATCTCTGGATATTGCTTGTCTGGTGGCTTACTATAACTAGAAATATAGTGCTCATTTAGTCCTGTGTCTGACTCAAGATCTAGTCAGTCTGTATTTCCCTTCTCATATCACTTTTCATCTCTGCATGGTTTTATTCCACTTTGTATTTACTATGGTCATTCCTTCTAGAAGAATCTCCTCTGCCACCATAACCCAGTCTACACCTGAGTTAATATTTACTACTGTACGTGGCACTAACTGCTGCAGTTACCTTAGGTCGGTCTTCATTCAAAAACCGGTTGTAGCCAGCACTGTTTCATTAGGGTGTCTGCATTTTGCATGCTGAACTTTATTTTCTAGTTATTTCATGCTCTCCCAATTATGTTCCCTTCAGTGCTTCCTCTGTTTCGTTTTCAGAATTGCCCCCTTTGGAAGCTTGAATCTTTATGGAGTGAGATCTATTTCAGACTATATGTGCTGGCTAACACATACAGTATTAGCCAGCAACAAGGTGGAAGGCAAGGGCTGGATGTGCTGCAGGATGGTTGAATTGGCCTTTTTCTTTCTGGCATGGATTGTGCCACCTTACGGGTTGATCCTTCCCCTTCTGTTGGTGGTACAAGGATCTGGGCTGAACTTTGAGATGTGAATCCTGTGGGTGCTGTTTCTTACCTCACTATTGTTTCTGTTGTTATTATTGTTGTTGCTGATAATGTTATTGCCACTAAGGCCCTTTGTTGCATCTCCTTATCCAACTGTGGCTTCACCATAGAAGAGAGACCAGGATCGGAGGTTTACAATCAACATGGAATAACTCGAAAACTGTTAGGAAAGGATGAGGGAATGGGTTGATGTGGGTAGAACAAATCACTCATTGTTTTTCTCTCCTTCTTCTAGCTCGTCCTCTAGGCACTCCCTACTGCAGGATGAATTAGGAAGGCAAAGCCTCTTCCTCTATACCATGGAGACAAGGGCATCTTTCATTGCCACCATGCGAGAGACGCAGCATCCCTCCCCAGAGAAGGGTCAGAGCCCGGCCAACGGCAACGGGGAACAGTTTGATTCAGGTGAGCTCTCATTCACCCCCATAGGTTGTCTTCACTGTTACAGTCCTTCAACTGGTGGCTGGTAGAGGTGGGAACATGTTACCATGGGAACATTGGGAATGGTTGTACAGCTTGAAGGCCCTTTGTGAGTCTTATGGGTTGGATAGTGTTCCATGGTTGATGGGTTAGGAAATCTGAGCTTTTCTCTTCTGGGTATCTTCTACAAGGCATAGCAACTATTCAGAATTTAAACAAAAACCAATGGAAAGCCTTTCCTGGGACATCATACCATGTTCTTCCAGTTTCCCCACCCTTTTTTATTCTAATGAAGTTTTGTGGTTAGAGAGGAGAGATGAACATTCAGGAATTACAGCATTTCTCCTTTGTTTTGACCTTCACCCTCATCTCCTTCACAACTTTTCTGAGGGCTTCAGGTGAGAGTGCTTCACAAATATTAGACCAGCCAGTGGAGAGCTGGTTCCATGTTGTCCTTGTGCTGATGATTATGATTGGATGCTCTGTAATGCTCTAGGATGGGCACCTTAAAGTGAGCATTCATTGTGCTAGATTTGGGCATCACTGTGGTAGATACAGAAAAATAAGTGCTAGCTTCTGGTGATTTCTGCTGGAATTATGTGCTTTAATTTCCCCTATCTAGCTCCAACAGAGGAGGCTGTATTGTCTGGTGAAGTTGCACATTATGGCTAGGCCCAATCTACTTTCTGATGACAAAATGAGAGACCTCTCTCTATCCCGTCTCTTCTCTGGCATTACCTCTGCTGCCCATCATAGCCTGGGCTGAATCAGTCAACTCAGTAACCCAGCAGAAAGGTAATGCAGAAAAAAGACAAGTGAATCATTTTCTGCCAGCTTTGTGGGTTGAACTGGCTGGAGGAAGAGCACATGCTGGTGGGAATGGGATTTCTCCCAGTGGTAGTGAACTGCTTAATGTGGCTCAGCTATAACTTGCAACTTCATCCTTGCTCTGTGTTTGCATGGACGAGCTAAATTGATGGACTTGTGGAGAACAGCACTGAGCTGCCAGTCAGTTAATGTGTACAAGAGCTTTCCTCTTTGCATTGTGGTACATTGTGTTGGTGCTCAGGTACTTGAATGCTTTTGCTTGCATTTCTGTAAGAGCTGTTCTTAACAAAAGGATCCTGAGGTATAAATGGCCAGTGAAGGTCTGTGCTTCTAAATGGCTACCTGAAGTCTACTTCCATGGAAATAGATGCCCTCAGCAGTGATGAATCTCAGAAAGTCTTGAATGTATGTATGTGCTATCACTAAGATGGCTAAGTCATCTGCCACAAATAGGTTCTTCTTCAGTGAAGCCTTGGAAAAGTCCATGTTACTGGAGCCACAGATTTTAGCTCTTTTATTGCCTTTATTTCCCATAGCCAAAGCCCCCCAGGAGGCTGTTAACAGTTGGAACAGTTGCATTTTTATAGTGTCCATGCATGAGCACTCTAAAGCCATGGAGAGGCTCACAAATAATGACTTCTTGATTTTATTTGTCATCCTGGGCTTCTTTATACGTCACCGTATTGCAGGCTGGCCAGCCTTGACTCTTTCATTAGGGAAGAGCAGTGGGCCCGAGTACCAGTAATTGGAAAGGATACGTAAAATAGGCCCGATGCCGCATTTATCATCTCAGGGGGTGCTCTGTGAAATGTTGGCATCTGGGATTTTGCAGCTCTCCAGCATAGCCAGGACTTTGCTCTTGAAGCGCGTGGCTTGAGGCATGACAAAGAGATCAGCTTTGGGATAACTGCTTCTCAGGCAGACACAATCTTCCTTGTCATGTATGGAGGGATGTCGCATTTCTCCGTCTACCTTTTAATTTGGGGGGTCTCCAGGCAGTTGAGGGAGGTTGGGAAGAGGTGTCCTCTGCTCCTCAGCAGTAGGGATCTGATGGATGAGGTGAGTTGTGCACAGTCCCATTATGTGCATGGATGGGGTTGGGTTCCTTGGGCTGATCTCATCCTGCACCACACTGCCTCTGCTCTGGATGTTCTAGAAGGGAACAAAGTCCATTAAAAAGGTATTTTGGAAATGTCCAGTCCCTTCAGAATCCTTTGTGATAAAACGAAGCAAAATAAAAGGCTGGAGCTGTGATAAATGAGTACTCTGACATTATTTTTACAGGCCTTGTAAAAGTAATTTCCTGATAAAGTCTGCAGATAAAACACGGTGGAGGAGTCAGACCTGTGATGTGTCGAGAGAAATGGGCTGACAGGGAGGGAAGGCTGCAGCTCTAACGCTGCCTCCCTCATAGCAGGGTCTTGAAGCCTGTCTTGTTTGGGTTTAGAAAGGAGAGATCTGGGTGATATTTTGTTTAACAGATGCTGTTGTGAGGTTTCCAGCACTACATGTGAATGAACCTTCCACTGGGGCTGTGGGAACAGTGGAGGCAGTGAGTCTGTCTGTGTCGGCACGTGGCAGAGTAAGGTCATGGGTAATAAGATTATGAGGTACAGGAGGGCTTGTTGCATCCATAACTAGCATCTGCAATGCTAATATAATTGAAGTGCTGTTGGCAAATTCTGGAGAATAATTTGCCACCCTGGAGACATTGCTGCCTATAAGGGATAAAGGTTTTAGACTGAGCTGCCTAAAAATGTCAGCTTCCACTGGCTCTGTGGAATGATTCCTTCCCAGAAGAGTACCAAGGAAGGCTGGAGAAAAGGAGGTAGGTATGTGCCTGGAGTCACCGAGCAGGTGAGAGCAAAAAGCAGGAATAAAATCTGAGAATATATAGAGAGTCTCATGGGTAGAGGGAAGTATGTCATGATCTAAAATGGAAGTATCTGAGTAGACAAGAAGAGAGTCGATGGCTGACCTGGAAATGTCCTGACCATATCAGATGTCCTGGGGTGAAGAAGTCCTTGAGGTTGTTGAGCAGCCCATCCCAACACCACCAGCCCAGATGGAAGCAGAAGCAGGAAGCAAGGAGGCAGAGGGGATACACTTCTAGTGTTTTGTGTCAGATGCTTCTGCCTTTTAGTGGGATGGGGGTTGTCTGTGATCAGGGTAAAAAGTTGCTTAAGCATTGGAGTAATTTTAACCTGGAATGGTTAACCGTATCTGCCCATCTGCTCACAGACTCTGTTTTAGAGGCTCAGACAAGGAAATCTCTGGATTAACTCCACAGAGTTGCAGATATTAAGGCTGAAAATTTCCCTGATCATCTGAGTTGCATGGTATAGATGAGGGAAACAGCAGTTTTTGCACCAAGCTTCTACCTTGTGGTTAAGCTGTCATTTTTCAGTAAGAAATGAACGAACCTCTGATTTTGGGTCAGATATCTCAAGTAGCGCCAGCTTCTATACCTGGTTGTTTTTTACATTGGTTGCAAAAGAAAGTCCATTCCTTATTCTACACTGAATTTGTCTGTTTTCAGGTTGCAGTCATGGGGTTGGGTTATTTCTTGTCTTGCTGAGCTGAAAAGTGAACTGGTAGTCACTTTATCATGGGAACAAATGTTGATTTACAGCTTCATATTTAAGCAGGTTATTTGAGTATAAGGCAGGGAATTGGACTTAGACTTGATGCAGCAAGTGTTTAACAGGGCAGACAGCTCAGTGCTCCTCTTTAAACTCCCAGATAGATCTTCACCCTCCACCGCCCCTGCCTCAAAACTCCTCTTCTCATCTACTTTTCCCCCCCTCTCCTATGTGGGTCTGGCTCCATAGGCAGCAAATAATGAGAGATTCCCATTGCACACCATAATTTTCTAGTCCTGAAAACTGGAGACCTGTAGCAATTATTGCAATAAATTAACCTGCTGTTTTCTTCATAAAACCGTCTGGGGAGGTTTCTTAATTCAGTTTGTCATGAGTCACTTTAATTCCATCGTGACCATGCTGATGAATGTTTGGGCAGGTAAGGGTCTCGTAGAGTTTGCCTGATAAATGCTTATTGCAAAGAGCTCATTGCTCGACTGTAAATATTCGTGCTCTGGGGATGGAACTGGGTTTGCAAGATTGCCTGGGAACAAAATGAAAACAATCAGATTTGGCTGATTTTCTGTAAGTGAGAGAAGAGTTATTTTTAGTTATTGCTGTGTGTGTTTCAGCGATGGTTTGAGGCCTCAGCTCTGCTCTACTCAGAAGAGAAAAGAAACGGGAGTAATGTCAGGTCCTTCACCGTGGGGGAGGATTGAGTGGGGCAGTGGTGTGGATAGGGGAGGCAGGATGCAGAGCCTTGAATCTGAAGTGGGGCAAGAACAAGCACAGGAACCAAGAAGACAATAGCGGTCTGGTGAGAGGTTCTGGGGGATTTTGGTAGTCTTTAGGGAAGAGAGAGATGTGAGAGCCTCAGCTGAGATTTCTGGGTGGAAGGATGATGAGGAAGGAAAGGAAAGGAAAGGGTGTCAGGTCTGCAAATGGGGCTCCCCAGCCCCAAGGGTTGGGGTGTTTGCTTTACACATTGCTCAGCCAATGTAATCAACTTGTAATATTATCACTAGGACACTGCTGTAATTAACAGTGCTGCATGACCACTTTTGGGACATGAGTAGGGCCACTTCACCCTTGTGATAGTGGACAGACGGCAAGAGAGTCATCAAGTACGAAATGAAAGAGCACAAGTGCTTTTTGCAGTGTGATGCGTTTGTTCCCCTATTGCCATGAAAGCAGAGGGATTTCTGGTCTCAAAGTGTTGACTGCTGAAGTCCCTAAGTCTGCTGAAAGCATAGCAAGAGCTGGTCAAAACAGTTAATCACAGCTCTTTAAAACAAGCTTTCTCTTTTCCATTGTGTTGATGTTTATACTGGTGGCTGTTCTCACCCTGAACGCTCTGCCACAACTTTTCCCTTCTTTGGCTGTGTTTTAGGCTGCTTTTCTTTCTTTGCTTTTCAACAGATGAGGGTTCCAGCACTGAGGACACAGACTTCAACTGGGATGAGTTCCTGGAGGAAACAGGAGCCAGCGCTGCTCCCCACACCTCCTTCAAACACGTACGTGCTTTGCCTGAGCCTCGTGGGTGTTGTGAGTGTTCCCTTGTGTGGATTTCGTGTGGGTCCTGGAGAACTGAAGTGTGGTCAGGGGAGAAATCATCCCTCTGTGCATGTGACAACCTGCATGGGATTTGCCTCCCAGCTGGTGTTAGGGGAACTTAGTGTGTTTGTGATCACAGCTCAGAGCATTGTGTCTATGCTATTTCCTTGTCCTCTGCCATTGGTTCAAATTTTCATTTTTTGAGGGCTTTTATTGCTTTCCTTTTGTTTATATGCACTCCCTTTTCTCTCGTCATCTATTTTCCCTTCTTATTTCTTCCTTGTTGTCCATCCCAACCTGTAGAGATTCATCTCACAGGAGTGTCTAACTTCTCCAAAGCTGTGCTCTTAATACATGATTTGCTGGCTAGCTGGGTCACTCAGCACTAGTGTCCAGCATGCCCCATAGGAAACCATCCTAGGAAACCATAGGAAGCCTCCTGCCTGGAAACGCTGTCTCAGAAGCATGAGAACCAAGTACATGTGTAGGTGATGCTTTTCTTGGGTGAACATACGTCATATAGACAGCTGTGATAGTTGCAGCACAGTCTGCTGCTCTGGTCCGTGTTAGTGCAGCTGGCGTTCAAAGTCTGAAATCTTCATTGATGAAGACTATCGTAGCACACTTTGAAGAAAGGATTCTGTCTCCCAGCAGTGCCTGTCACAGTCAAGGATGTTGTTTGGAACCATCTTCACCCAACACCAGTTGGTTAATGTCTTCTATTAATCTCCATGTGATGTCACATGAGGCCATGGGACAGCAATGAAGCTGATGTATGAGCTCTTCATCACAGTCAAGGGTGTGCAGGTTAGATTTTTGCAGGACATCTTTGTCATTCAGCTGCAAGACTGTGCTGACCTACTCAGAAGTTGCAATGCCTTCAGCTGAGTTAAGCCATGGCAAGTCATGATTCTCTGTCCTCAGCTGCAGTTCCCATGAGGATAATGCTGCTCATCCTCCTACCAGACCCATCAGATGTAGGCAGCAGCCTGCTCTGTTACAGCTGCCTGTCAGTCATGCTGGCTCTTCTCCCAGCTTCACTTGGCTGGTCTGCGAGCTCTGGAGGATGTGGACATCTTCAGCAGAAAGAGCACGGTTTTAGCTGTGATGCTCTGGATTGCCTTACACTGAGCCTGCTTGCTGGTGTAGATATCCTTTGGGAGCAACGTAGCTGTGCTTCAGTGACAGGGAAGCTTCCTGAAGAACCGGTTGCTACTTAAAGAGGAGTCTTTATTTGGATGGCTGCTGTCATGCCATTAAACCAGCTTTGTCTCCAAGTGATTTCTTGGCTTGTTTTGAAGGGACAAGGAGCTGCAGTGATGAAAAATCCTCTCTTCCATCTACATATGAAAAAAACAATACAATCTTCCATTCCCTATTTTGCTTCCATTTTAACAACAATGGATTATTGCAGGATGAAGGACAATAATTCCCTATACTGCAGAATTACAGAGCAATGGTTATTGTAGAGTTTATCCTTGCTCCAGTAGCTGTCTGTAGAGAGCATCTTGTCTCAGTTCTGAACACAAATACCAAAATCAGATGAAAGTTTTATGCTTCATGGAGGCCTTAATGGTATCTTTAGGAGTGTGGAGATGCCCACCTCATCGTGATAATCCTTCTGACTGTGGTGTCTCACTGCACCTCAGTCCTGGAAATTCCAGTGTGAGACAACTCAGTGTTGGGAATACTCCTTAGTGACTGTTCTTCACAATTTGAAACATGATCCTTAACAAAAACATGGCTTGGCCAGGAACCTGAAAGTTGTTAAAGATTGTATTATCTGGCTGTCTGATTCCATTCTTCATGGGATTTCCAGTCACAAGTCCCTTGCCTCCAGGATACCACATTGGTCTTTACTTACAATGAGTGCAAGGAGTAAAGCTACAAATGAATGTGAATCCTGGATTATTCATGAGGACCCTTAGCATCACAAGAGCTAAGATCGTATCTTATGGCTAAAGTAGCAGATGTCACAGACCTTCTTCAGTCTTTGACGATCTGCAAAGATCTCTTCCATCCTCAATTCAACTATACCCTGACTCCAGGCATTGATACTGATGATTGATACTACATTTATGTTTGTGAACAGAATGCATTTAAACCTGGTGTTTAAATGAGAATTTAATCAGAGATACGCTTAAACCAGACTATAATCTCTCTGGTTTCAGTAGGAGATAAGGACAGGTTCTTACAGGCTTTTTAGTGCCTTAAGCATCCCCTAAGGAGTAATAGGCTACGTTTTGGATAGCCTTCTGAAGACAAGGCTGACACCTGAACCAGTGGACTGGCATCTACCTCCTCTTTATCAACATCAGCTAGAGACATGCCATTGGCCTTGGAAGATACTTTACCATGTGCCAAGAGCAGGCCCTAGTGTTTAACAGTAGTCCCTTCAGTGTCCTAGAAGAGATGCGCTGGCATCTCCATTGTCTTAAGGCAAGTTACATGTAACGTGTCACTGGTAAGGTAAATGGAAGTGATACCTCTGTCAGATGGCAGGACAGTGACCCCAGCCATTTGCTTTTCAGCACTGGGTCATATCTTATATACAAAGGTGCTGGGAGAAGCAGCTGGTTGAGACTTGAGCTGCTGGGGAGGGATTTAGTGAAAGCACTCTCCTTTGTCTGCCTGGCACAGCATTCAGCCCTTGATGCTTGTCTAACCTCAAGAGGTGCTTCAGTGTTGTTATATGACTAATTATTATAGTTGGGCTAAACTCCTAGAGGTGCTTAGTTGCCTTTCTACCTCGCATGTGTCCTGTGATCTGCCTGACAGAGCTGGACAGTGGGAAATGAAACCTCATTTGAGTTATACTGCCTTTCTCCCAGGCGTTAGTGAGATTTATGATGTGAAGGTGGGTACCAGTCACACTCCCTCAGGTGTAGTGCAGCTGAGGTTACCACTGCTGGAGAGCCTCTTTGGAGCGTGTGGGATGTTGCATGATGGGGTATATGCCAGTGAGATAGGAATGGTCCTGCCCAGACAGACTGTGAAGGAGGTGGTTGGATTAAGGTGCACAATCAACTCATGTCCTACCTCAAAGCTGCTCTTTAAGAACAGCATCATCTTGCTTAGCTGGGAAGGGGGCTCTCCCTGCAAAGAAGAAAAGGTAACACCATGCCTTTCTAATTTTGTAAGGTTGAAATCAGCCTTCAAAGCAGTTTCCAACCAGGGATGAAATTAGAAGTGGCCAACAAGAGCAATCCAGACACATATTGGGTGGCTACCATCATTACAACGTGTGGACAGCTCTTACTGCTTCGTTACTGTGGCTATGGAGATGACCGCAGGGCAGATTTCTGGTGTGATGTGATGACAGCAGATCTTCACCCTGTTGGCTGGTGTACACAGAATAACAAGGTCCTGATGCCTCCAGATGGTGAGTTCTATGTGTTTTGTTAGGGTCATGCTCCAATATTGGACTGGTGGTTCATCTCCAGACTTCTAGATGATCTGGAATGGGTGCTTCACATCATCAGTTGGTGTTGGGTGATGCAGACAGGGTCAGGTTCCCACAGGTCAATGGGTGTTTCAGTTTGCCAGCCAGTCTCTAGCAAAAGCATTTTTACCCTAGTTGGTTAACAACAGAAGGCACTTCTGTAAGAAGTTGTCTTAACAAGGAAACGCTGTTGAAATGCAAAGCTGTGATTTTCAGTTAGGGGAGAAAATTGACCTGTTCTTGCAGGGTGACATCCAAAGTGAGAACAGACCAAAATAAGCAAGATCAGTTTGGGTGTAGCCAAAATCGGAAGTTGGCTGTGCACTCAAATGTTGTGCCCTGAAAGTTTAGACCCTTCCATTGCCAGATTCTTGCAGCTTTTAACTCCAACACTAGATACACATGATTAACGATAGCAAAATTTGGTCATCATAGGTTAGAGCATGTCCGGATTATCAGCTTTTAGGTGCACAAAAGCTGAATGCAAGAGCTGTACATTACTAAATGGCCCATGTGGGACAGTTTCTTAGTAACAGAAGTTGATTCCCAGTGTGTTTGAAAAATATTGGGTTTTTTGCTATGTACATCAGCAGAACAACAGTGTATCCTTACCACTACATAGCTCCAAGCAGAGGGCTACTTGTCACTCTTACTCATGCATTTTCCTCCCCTATATCCCATTTATTCTGGATCAAGGGAAAAAGAGATGAAAATTTAGCCTCTAACTTATGCATGCTTTTAAAAAAGTCTCATTTATGGGTTCTGCTGCTGAAGTTATTCTTTTACTTTCTATTTTATGTGATCATTGAAAAAAGCATTGGAAAAATCTCATTTATGGGTTCTGCTGCTGAAGTTATTCTTTACTTTCTATTTTATGTGATCATTGAAAAAAGCATATGTGCCAGCTGTGGGCCATGTGTGATTTCTCCTGGTGTAGGGCTTGCCTGGCTTCCCACTGAGTGTGCTGTAGACATGGTCTGTGAATCAGAGCTGATGTTCCTGCTTTGTGCCTGGTGAACTCTGAGCTAAACTCTGAGCTTTTTGTTCTGGTCTATGTGTTTTGAATAAACGGAGGATTGATTGCTTAAAAATAGAGAAGTCTTGAAGACAAATATGGGTGAGAAATCTGTTGGCTTATCGCTAGTAAATCAAGCTGATGTGAGAGGGGTTAGGTATTTTATTGGTCTCTTGAACTATCTTTTATTACATGGATTATAACAAGTGTTACCAGAAGGGTGTAGAGTGCTGTAAACTAAATCTCAAAATGTGAGGATCAAGGAGTAAGAGATCCTATTGACAGTTGTGACAGAAAATAACGATTGTCTTCTAACGGGAGGCAACTGCTTTTCATGGCAGTGTTGGAATCTGCTCTTTGGGTTGTGGCTACTTTGTGTGAATTGTCTTGCTTGAATGACTGCAAATGTGCAGTAGGTCAAACCTCCTTTCTCCTCTGGCTGGGTGCTGTAATTGTATACCAGGAATTTAAATTTGGGCAGCTGCCCTGTTTTGTTTTGGTTTTCCCACTCCCATTCTCACCGAATTAACTCTATTGAATATGTCTTAGTATAGTTCTCAGAAATAATAGATGTGTAGATTATAATTTCAAAAGAGATTTAAACATTTAAGAGCTTCAGGTGTATTTTGCAATGAGGCCTCTAAAATGCCCAGGAGGGTTTGAGGCTTCAGGACTCCTCTCACTTGCCAAAAAGAGAGGTCCTAAATGTGTTCGTAAATCGCAGAGCTCCACTGGGTATTTGCCCAACAGGGTTTGCCTGTGGTCAAAGGTGGGTTTGTGTCTCCCACTGGGACACCACAAGGTAGAAGCTGAGTTTTCAGGAGCGCCCCTTGTTTTCTGTAAGGAGAACTGGGCTCTGACCAGGGTTTATACGTAGCTTGTGAGTACTAGACTTATTTTACACAGATGTCTGGAGTTTGTCCCGTGCTTAATTGTGTTGCTGGTCAGTGGATGTATCTTAATGAGCCAAACTTCACTGCGGTGCTGGGAGTTCTGTCTGGTGAAGCCTGCAGGATCAAGTCTTGCATTGGTAAAAGAGAAGCTGCTGTTCTCTGTGAACTCCATGGAGGTTTTTTGCCTTTTTAGCATTGCACATTGTTTTGTGTCAAACCTTTGGAAGAAAGGAAAGACAGCTTCAGATTGCATGGACCCGTTTTACGAGGGCCTGATTCTGCACATCTTGATTACAAGGAGCATTTCTGTTGGCAAGACCATGCAAGCAGAATGGCCAGGGCCAGCTATCTGTCATTAGGGTTTGATTTTAATCAGGAGTTGAAGGCTTTGGTTAAAAAGCAGATCTGCCAAGAAGAGCTTGTTTAATGGGCAGAATATCAACACTGAGACAATGCTCTGTTTCTGCTTGCGAATCAGATTGGACTGATCAGTGCTCATCTTATAAATGCGATGCCAGACAAGAATGGTACATAGTGACAGGATGAAGGATTTCATTAGATGGGAAAGAGATGCAAGAAAATAGACTGGTTCAGTTTAGCAAATCAATAGAGCTTGATTTAATGCACACACAGAGCTTTTAAGGGGCAGCTGCCAAATAATTATTGTTTATGATCCCAATAGAAGGAAGTCATTTAATTTATGGACTGTTGCATGGTTATTTATTGGGTGACATTAGCATTGCATCATGGTGCCAGTGGCCTGCGAGGAAAATGTCAAGTCATGTTATGTCCTCCCATGTCGTTATGGTGCAGTGCAATAGGATAGGAGTGCTCAAGCCAAATACTTGAGTTTCCAATGAAATGTATTGGCTTATCAAGGGATGGTGTGTGTGTGCCTACGAGCTTCACCCTCCATCCCCTCCCTCCCTGCAGGAAATCAAAGGAGTAAAATTGTAGTTACTTCAAGCTTTGCCATTAATTATATTTTTCTCATTACAAATCGGTGTGCAATTTGAATTGCAAACTCAGCTATCCTGGCAGAATAGATCTGTTTACCATTCAAAGCAAAATGAAAATTATTTAAATTAGTTAATATAGAACTCATTTGAATGAATTGGATGTTTATTCATGAACTAGCTGAGGCAAGTGTGAAGCTGTCCTTATGGTCTGTAGCTTTGCCTCTGGTCAGCTCTAAAGTAATGTCCTGGGACAGAGATTTCTTTTTCATTACATATTAACTGTGGTGTAAACCATCAGTAGCTGAGTGTGAGATTTTCATCCTTTCTGAGAAGCAATTGTAATTCATATGAGGAAGGACAACCTGCTTCAAAGTTCATTGACAGTGACAAGACTGTGGTGGTGTAGCAAGCTTTGTTTTCTGCACTGTGGGGATGAGATGTAGCAGATTTTCCATCAGTTAGTAAAATTTCCCTATTGTATTATTCTGCACGGATACAGCAACAGTATTTATTTCCTCCTGTGCCTTACCCAAACACTGTCCTCCTCCTCAGCACAGAGCCGATGTGGTTGTTTTCCAGCATCCTCCATCCCTCGGGGTGTTTTATGCACTGAGCATTAAAAATTTAAGTCTAACTAAACTTTCTCTTACTAGCAATTCCTTTAACGGTGAAAGGAAAAGAGGCCTCTTGCCTCCTTCAGCCTAGTATTTCCATGTGCTGTTTTCCTTTGTTGATGACAGTTGGGTTCATGAACACGTTTACCATCGGGTAGAAGAGCAGCGTGGAGAACCTGACAAGCGTAGCAGCTAAATTATGCATTGTGAACCACGCGGAGAGCAGGAACGCCTTTTGATTGACACTTGGGTGTTTTTGTACAGATTGCAGATTTACAGCTGAGCCAACAGAGCTGAATCTCTCCTGGCACTATCTTAATGCATTCTGGGATGCGCTAAAGACACTGGGTGACAAGACTATTGTGTACACTTGTAATTGCTGTGGTGGTTCTGCTTTAATGTTATTGACAGATGGAAAGTCAGATAGGGCATTTCTGCGTGCAGATCTGTGTGGTCTGCTTGCTGTGTAAACCAGGAGATGGAGGAGACCGGAGATGTGAAGAAATACAGCAGGGAGAGAACCAGGTTTATATTTTGACTTTATAATGGTCTGGTACAGACGGGAAAACCTCTGAACACCATGTATACTTGGATTTGGAGATCAGGATGATCAATCACACTGTGATTATGTGTAGGAAGGCAGGTTTTACTTCTCTTGTTACACTGATACAAGGAGAACTAAAGCTTCAAATCTTGATCCTGGGGTGAAATGACTCTCTTTTGCATAGTGCTGAGCTTTATCAAGCTTCAGCATCAAATACGCCATTAAGAGTGGTGGACTTAAAGCATTTTTCCTGCCCAGGCTTCCCATGAAGGCAGACATCGTTTGGTCATTATTTGAAATAGGTTTTCATGTGTATCTCAGGTCAGATTAACTTTTACCCTAGATCAGGCCAGAGGAGGGAAGTGTCAGATTCTCAGTGCTAGATCTGATTGTGGGGAGGGTATGGATGAAAAAGAAGATGAAACTCATGCCATGCAAACCGGGTTGCCTTCAGATGACAACTTGTTGCTTTTATTATTATTACTGTTGTTGTTGTTATCACTATTATTAAATATCATTATCTGAATCTATCCTGGTTTTTGAGGTGTAAGAGAGGAGAGATGTAGATCTCATTGACCATGTCAAAACTTAACGGCATCAGGACTCAGTGGATTCTGCATAGTCAAAAGATGGTCTGCTGTGTTGCACAGCAGATTGGTGTGCAAGAGGTCAGATAGATGAATAGGTAGATTGAAGAAATGTTAACTTTGAGCCAAGTTTTCCTTTTTTTTTTTTAATGCTCAGGTGGAATTACTGATGGGTGTAGTGGTTAGAACAGATGCTGGTGCTGGGCTACAGCAGAAAGTAGTGGGATTGAGAGAGATTGGGGAGCAGGAACAGTAAGGCGAGACGGTGATACAGGATCAAAGAGAAGAGGAAGCCTTGAGCAGTCACTTTCTGCTGCAGGTGTGGATT